GCGCGGACTACACTGCATGCTTTCTTTTTCATTGATATCTTTTCCTTTATGTGAGATAGTAGAAATCATGCATCTTACTTTCTTTAAATCTTGCATTCTTAGCAATTACTATCACCAACCAAAAATCATCACAGCTGTTTGCATCATTTTTGGGTTAAAAGTCAATTACCCTCTCACATATGTATGCATGAATCTGTGCAAGGGAAATGCTTGAAATCATTTTCCTCCCCACTCAAACAGACCCCACCAATTCTAGAACCTAACTGATCCTGTATTCACACATACTTAAGTCATTAAAATCGCCATGATTTCCTTACCAGTTATATGACGAAACGGTTGTACATATTGTTGTCATGGATGGCTCTTAATTAATGGTTGTCTTTAATACCAGTAATTTATTGATCTGATTGAAAAAAATTGGTTCTCTTTATTTAAGATTTTAAATTTAACTTTTATGAATGAAAAGATAACTGTGAAGAAAGTTATCTTTTATGGGATTTAATGTAACTCAATTATGGACTAATTGAAGTTTAATATGACTTTAGTATCTTAGGAGATTAGTAAAGAAAATAATAGTTGTTTTCAATAATTAATTAATAGGTTTTTCAAAGCACATGGTAAGTGTATAATAATTACATCATTCACATTGATTGATATTAAAAAAATATAAAAGCTATCATTATTTCATTACCAATGTTACGTGAATCATTTTAATTAAACAATTACTTAAATTAAAATCAACTTTTATTTTTTTAATACTAATCAATATAAAAAAATATAATAATTATACTCTTAAAACACATATTAAAAAACCCCTTAATTAATTACAGTCCACGTTGAGAAATCAAGAACATCATCTTCATGAGGATTGATTTTGCCGTCCATCTGACCAACAAACATTTATGCAAGCCCCACTAGAACCATGATGAGCCTTTCTTTTATCACATGATATGGTAGACAATGGACGATACAATACAAGCTCTCTTCTTCTCAAATCCATCTTCATTCGTCTTGAAGTTTTTTTTTTTTTTTTTTTGGGGGGGCGGGGGTGTTATGCAACACTCGCCCTCAAGTTCAAATATGGGGTTTTCCACTTAAAATTTCAAATTCCCTTGACTAGTTTGTCCATACCCGCATTGTCTTTCTAATTTCATTTCAATTTCAACAAACAAGTAGCTAGGCTTGGCCCAATTTAATTTGCTAGCAAGGAATAGACTAATGGTCCAACTAGTTATTGTCTTAAAAAAAAAAAAAACAAAGCAAAACAAAAGTCCAACTGGTTGGACCTAAACCCGGATGGGTTAGCATGCAGCCCATTTCCCTTTTTCCTAGTCAATGAATTCTGTACTTTTTTTGAACAAAATACAAAATGGAAATATAGAATTATGTACATTGCAAGTGAAATATATGAGAAAATTTGCCTAATTCTGCAATCAAGGTATTGACGAATGACGAATAAGAAATTGAGTTTAAGTTATGAGCTTTTTCTATTTTTATAATTTAGATTACTTTAAAATGTAAATATATATATATATATAGTCTCAAGTATCAAGGAGTTTTCTTTTATTCAAGAGTTTGTTTTAGCGCAGTTAACATAGTTCAGATTGCACCAAACATTTCTATTAAGTTATGTGCATGCTTGGGGTGAACAGAAAAATGAGAGATAATTGTGCAACTTAAAATCCAAAAAATAAAATAGCAACCAAAGTTGTTAATACCGTACTGATATATGTATCAGTTTTATTATTGAAATAATACATACTGAATATCGAAATTTTTTGTGTATCGTTTCGGATTTACTGCTATAAATATATATTTTTATAAATTAAATGTCAAATTTTAAAATAAAATAAGAGATATTAATGTTTAAAACCATTATATTCTTATAAATTGAAAACAAGTTTAAAATGATCAATTTTAGTCCCTCAACTTATATATGCATATTTTTTGTCCCTTCACTTTAAGTTAAGGAACTAAAAATATGTATATTTAGACAAACTTAACTGAGTAATTTTAGAAGAATTAAAAAATGTATATATATATTTTTTTATAGTTGATGAATTAAAAAAGTACATTAAAAAGTTAAATGATAAAAATTATGTAAAACATTAAAGTTGAGGACCAAAAATAAAATTTATCCTTTTCAAATTTAAACTTAATTCAACCTGGCCAATTTTCGTGTATCAATAGATATGCCAAAATATCCATCAATACATCGAAATTCAATCGAAATGGATGAAATTTGACTAAATGAAATTGAATCATATATATTTTTGATTTAATGCAAAAATTTGTATATATTAATCATACCAATTGATATAGTACGATATCAATAACATTGATAACAACTCATACATATATATATATATTGAGATGTATAATGATAAACCAATTATTTGTTTATATAATTTTTTAATATAATTTTTACATTTAGTAAAATAAATAATATATATAATATTGTGAGTCAATATAAAAATAAATTAATTATTAAATAATATGTAAAGTTATATAAAAAACTTATAAAAATGGTTCCTAAATTACTTTACGACGTTAGATTTGAACTTTTTTCCTTATTATCCACTCATGAATCCATTACCTGAAATCTACTAAAAATACATTAATTTTCTATATTTTTTTTTCTTGCGTGTCCTGATTGATAGCATCAAACTACGAAATGAATCATTAAAGGTTAAATGTGAATTTTAGTTACTTAATTTTAAGGTTTTGTATAATTTTTATTTTTTAATTTTTTAT